CCCCAAAACCCCAAAACCCCAAAACCCCAAAACCCCTTTCTTAAATTAGAGAATTGAAACAGCTACTATGTAAGCATGCTACCTTTAGCACATCTCTCCATTATAGACAGATATCTCGGATTTCAGAGGAATAGATATAAACTATTTAGGTTTTAACAGGCCTACAAAGACAAATTTGAATAAAAATTTAAGGGAATTAAGATATTTTATGCTGTTATGGAATAGGACAAAAACAAAAACTGTAAATTTATTTAATAATTCTGCTGAATAACTAGGTATATCGAAAAAAGAGCATACTTAAGAGTTTAAAAATGATGAGAAGGATTGTGATAATATTTTTCTTCAACTTTAGTGAATCAGGTATTGCTTTCTCTATCTCAAGTGTCAAACTTATTAAATATTATTACTCCTGTGATATCTAGTTATTTAAAAGAGCCTCTTTGAAATATATTAACAATTTTTCTTCTAGAGATACTTTATCTAAATATTATCCAAAGAACTAAAATTTTAATAAGAGCCAAATTGATAAAATTTGCCAAAATTTGCCAAAAATTCCCAAACAGTGGCAATTAACTATAACATACCCCCAACACCCCCACTATTCCTAAAGACTCTCCCAAAACATGCCACCAAAGGTACGCCCTCCTTATAAACCCTACTATTCCTCCCCCAACACTAATTCCCATCCTTCCCAATCTTCCTCTTAATAACTCACTTCAAAGAGGTCTCAGCCTATTTTTCACTAACAATTTATCAACAGAGAGCTGCGTATTTTGGAGTTTGATTTCGAACTTTTTAAAGTTATTAATATTTTGGAATATATTGAGGTCTTTGGGTTAAAATTTATGGAAATTATTGAGAGCTGTTGTGCTGGTTGGGAGATGGGTAGTGGACTTCATGATAGGTTAATTTAGAGATACGATATTGATTAGCTAGATTAATTTGAGAAGTTGTTATTATATATTTAAGAACTCGTCAGGACTTGATGCTCGAAGTAAATCATGCCTCTTTGCTAGCTTATTGGTACTATCTTCATAATATTTTGAGCAAATTTCGGTAAATTCTTAAAATAATTTTAAAGGAAAATGGAGGTATGTTAACAAGTTGCCTTCTTTCTCAATAATTTTAAAGAGCTCAAACAGGCAAGATATACTGTAATACCCCTAGAGTTGTTAATTTTTCAATAATTTTAGACAAATCGTGACCCTTTAATTTATAGATAATGATAGCAAACTCAAAAAGGTGTTAAAAATCAATCACATATTCATGAAGGTTATATGGCTTTGAGGCCCTGATTATATAAAGTGTTGGTGAGAGTTTATCGCTGAAAAAGTTATTGAAGATACTATTTCGTAAAGCAAAAGATTTTAACATGAGCGAGGAAGAAAGTTATAAAACTTGGTGTTTGACAAGGTTTATGATAATGCAGAGTAAACTGCGGCTTCAATAATTATTTTTTAAAGTGATTTTTAGTTTTTATGAATTAGGTTTATCTAAGAAGGGTTGATTTTTACGATATCCTTTTATATCATACTTGCAGGACATCTATTACTGAAAAAAAATACCAATACATTCAGATATTTTTATGTAGGCTAAAAATTTTAAGAAGAATTATGTTAAGGATCCTCTGAGAGTACTTCCTGACATTTCACTATTAATTTGTCTAAATAGTGCTTATATGCTTCCGTGCTGATAGGCTCTTCCCTCTTTTGGTTGATTGAGTTCACAAAATCCTCCCAAGATGTCTGGTTAGTCCAAAAATTTAAGAAGAGGGAAGAGAAATATTTATTCTTAGTTCATTCTAGCAGATGCTTAAAATTAAATCTGGATAAGCAACTGTTAAATTCTTTTCTGAAAGATTCGCATGATGATCCATATCTTTTATGCTCTCTTCTCGGGTCTATTATGGATATAAAAATATGTGCAAGCTTATCTTCTGCAGCTTCCCCACTCTGAGAGAGATATTTCATAACTTCTCTAGCAGAGTTGGTAGTCTTTCCACTATAGCAAGGAGAACTTAGTTGTGAAGTTCTGAAATTTTCCTCAAAACGGCGCTTCATGAATCTGAGGATGGCCTTATAGACTACATCTTTTCTGGAGTTGGTATTAGTATAGCTTCTTTCCAACCTCTTTTCGGTTTTATTCTTTGCTTTAAGTCCAGAAGATTCCTTAAATTTTCCTCTTCTTGTACTACTAGAAGCAAGTTCGCTGCTCTGAGTACTAGGAGGAGTGAAATTTTTATTGAAATAATATCGAGAAAAATCGCTAGTTTTGGGAGATGCATTGGCTAAGTTCTTCGAATTAACTCCTTCATTTGCTTGCAAAGTATGGTGATTTTCTTTGATCTCAAATTCTAAACTTTTGTTGTTGCTTAAATTATGTTTAGAGATTCCATCAGAGAAGGTAGGTCAAGAACAGAAATCATGAAGGCAGTACTTTTTAGCATAAATTTCGAGCAGCTCTTCATAATTCTGGGAGATTCCTTGGTTAGAAATCGCATTTTGGAGAGCCCTTTCAATTTTTGATGACTCTAGAAATAACCCTTGGGAAATCTGAGTGCTATTGAGAAATTAGGATAAGAGATTTGATAAATTTTCCTTTATTCTGCTGCAAAAACTGCTGAAACAGGGGTCAGATGATATAATCATCTACTTAATTTATTGAAGAAGATAGAGAATTTGAAGAAATTTTTAATCTTTACTCGTTTGCAAAAGGGCAACTTCAATTTTATGATATTTTCACTCCAAAATATAGGAGAAAGTGAGCATACAGTTAAGAATAATTTTTTTAGCCTACTTTGAATTTTCCTTGGAGTTTGGATGACTGATTCCATTAACAGTGATGTTATAAGTGGAGTGTGCTTTCATTAATATATAATTTATAATTATATCCTCATTCGATTCAAACCTAAATAGTTTTATTGGGGTTTTGGGGTTTTGGGGTTTTGGGGTTTTGGGGTTTTGGGG